CGCGCGCGCGCGTGTGTGTGTGTGTGTGTGTGTGTGTGTGTGTGTGTGTGTGTGTGTGTGCGTGCTTGCGTGCGTCAGGTTGCAATTGTATCTTGCTTCCGCTCTTGTTGTCTGCTTGTCTTGCCTTCCTTTTCCCGCCCAACCCTCACACCACCTTGCTAACACCCCTCCCTCTTCTTCCGCCTTGGTCTGCCTTTGTGCTGCCAGCCTGTGAAGCAAGACGAGCTGCGGAATGCCGTCGAACACTTGGAGACGGACGAGTTTGTCAAGGTTGTCAAGCGCGATGCAAGAGACTTTACACTTCGCGTCATCGCCCCATCCCTGTGATCACTCTTTGCCTGTCTGCCTGTCTCTCATACTGTTGTTTGGGGAGTATGCATAGCACCTTGTTCTGTTCACATACAATAGCAAACATTCGACAAGCAAACGCGCTCGCGCAGCACACGAAAGCACAGACAGCCACAGAGAGAGAGAGAGAGAGAGAGAGAGAGAGAGAGAGAGAGAGAGAGAGAGAGAGAGAGAGAGAGAGAGATAAACACACACACCCTAGACCCGCTTTTAGGAATGATTTCCAATAATTTTCCGAACTTCAAGCAACAAGTGCAACGAACAACGATGATGATGAGCGAGTGGTGGGCAGGAGTGGTGAGCGGTGCGCCGGAGGCGGCGTCATTCATAGCGCTGGTGGCCGTGTGGGCCCTGCACAGGGTGGTGCTGTGGGTGCTGTCACTAGACGTGATGATGTCGGCCAAGAGGAAGAGGGTGAAGAAGCTTCGCAAGGACATTGAGGACTGGCAAACACAACTGATATCCATCAGTGCCATGGTGAGCATGGCTGTGACAGTGCACTTGCAACACTGCACTCGCGACAGTGCACTCGCTCATGCTCCACATGCGCCTCCTCAACCATCACAGCAGCACAACCACAACGACAACGGCAGCAACACACAATGGACACAACCGTTGAATTACCTGCGAATCACGCAAAACGCAAAACTACTTGCGCCCAATCACACACACACCACATCGCGCACACACACACACTCTCTCTCACACGCTGTCCCCTCTGCATCGTGCCAGGATGAGCTGGCGCGATACTGCAAGATCGAGCGAAAGATCTCTCAGGCTGAAAAGGAGATTTCAACCATCGGTATGCGTGTTGCCAAGAGGGGTGACTAAGCAGGGCTCGTGCGATGCTCCGTGCTGTGTTCCTGTGTGCCGCGAACAACTGAGACCTCCCACATCGCATGCAAGCAGCAGCCAGTGCTTCGCCGCGCGTGATCCCAACCTCACAACGTAGCAAATTGTGACACCAAGACCGCTCACACGTGTGTGCTTTGTTCATTCCAGAACCGGAACCTTCTGTGATGAACTTGCCCAAGATCCTTCGCAACAAGGCAGCTGAGCGTGCTGTCACCATCGGGAGTCGAGCGCTGCTGTTCGCCGTCATCACTTATGCATTCTCGGTCCGACACATGCGCGTGTATCGTGTGGACTGCTCTCCTCCATGGGGCTGCATCATTCGTTGTCATCTCCTTGCTTCTACGTGTACAACGCCACACACACACACTCTCTCTCTCTCTCTCACACACACACTCACACACACTCACACACACACACACTCTCTCACACACACACACACACACACACACACACACACACACACACACACACACTCACTCACTCACTCACTCACACACACACGCATTTGCGTGCAACAGGGTGAGCGGTTTCACATCCCTGATGTTCTCCCAAATCCACTCTCCATCGCTTTCGGTTCAGGTACAACGTGCATTCCTTCATGCACCTTTACTCTACCTGCCCACCCCTGCCCTTGTATCCTTTCACTGCTGTGTTTGTTCGCATTCGTCCTCACAACCACCTCCATGTTCCTTCACGGCCTGCGTGCTGTTCATCTTTAGGCCCGTACTCGAGCGTGCTGTGGTTTCCGCTCTGCTTTGGGGCGCTGGATGCGTTAACAAAATAACCAGTTTCGTCCCTCACTCATCGACCTTCGCTTCATGTTGTTGCTCTTGTTGTTGGCGCTGACACTGTACACACTGCGCATTGCCTTTCTGAAATCAGTCCTGTTTCTTTTTGTGACAAACCACAATTTACCTTTCGTTCTCATGTGTGAATGTACGGGTTTGTGCATGAGCGTGTGCGTGTGCTTCCGGTGTTGTGTTTGCTGCCTGTCCTTATGCATTGTTCACTCGCGACGACAAAAGAGTATGTACACTGTGGACAATGCATCAACGCGAGCTATGCACGATACTCTGCACGGAGTGATATGGGATGGTATGGTATGCACAGCACCCTCTCAACGCCTGGCATCCTAAATACAGCAATGCCTGACACTAACACCACACAGCATGCACACACACACACACACACACACACACACACACACACACACACACACACACACACACACACACACAAGCAAGCAAGCAAACCAACCAACCACCCACGACGCCCACGCGACCATCTGTCATTCGTCAATGGCCTCGTAGAAGATGAGGTATGCCTCGGCCTTGGTGCCACTCTTCTTCATCATTGCATCAAATTCGGGCTGCGACAGGTATGTCACCTCGCTGTCATTCAGCTGCAGCCATCGCCGCTGGCTCGCGTGCACGGGCGCTGGCTGCGGGGTCACATCGCCATCACCGCTGTCACCGCCATCAGCGTTGGCGCTGTTCTTGCCAGTGTCGTTTGCTCTCTTGCTTGGCGACGACGACGACGATGGCAGCAGCTTGGAGTACCCGCCGCCACGTAGCCGCAGGTCCCAACCTGGCGAAGGAGCAGGAGCAGCAAGACATGCTGACGACGACGACGACGATGACGGTGGTGATGATGATGATGATGATGATGATGATGATGATGATGATGATGATGATGATGACGAGTGTCCCAGCACCATCAACAATTCATCATCCGTGGCATCATCAGCGCTGTCGGCGTCACTGCGCGCAGCTGTGGGCGCACCGCCCTTGAGTCCAAACCCGCGGCCCTTTCGCGACGATGATGAAGACGATGAGGTGAGGCCATCTCCGCCACGCTGGTTCTCTTTGTTGCTCGAGACCCGGGAGGAAGCCAACGGTGACGACGATGATGATGACGACGGTGTTGTCGTGCGGCCAAGAGCGCCGAGCGGGCGGCCGAGCGGATTGTTCGAGAGCACAATGTTCTTGGACGTTGCACCGCGCATGCGAGACGACAGCAAGTCGCCAATCGGCTTGCGGCTGAATGCGCTCTGCTGCTTAGGCGGCGATGCGTCAAGCGACAGTCGCATGCGCGTGTGTGGATTCGACACCTGGCTCCGCTTTGCTCGCTTCAACGGCGAATCACCGACAACAATACTCCCGCCAGCATCACGATGGCCTTTGCTGCTGCTGCTGCTGCTGCTGTTCTTGTTGCTGCTCTTGTTTGTTGCTGCTGCTGTTGCTGGTTTTGCAGCTGAGCCCACACCACCATGAGCACTCCCTAGGCCTGCTGCCCGCAATTTCGACGTGGCAGTACTGCGCTGCGTCGTAAACGGGTTCGCACCGCCATCACGACGGCCACGCGATGATGATCCTGTTAATGCTGCTCCTGATGCTGTTGATGATGCTGCTGTTGCTGCTGCTGCTGATGCTGCTGTTGCTGCTGCTGATGATGATGCTGTTGTTGCCACGGGCTGTGGACGCGATTGTTCCAACTTGGACAGCGGCGATGATGCGTCGGGTTTGGCGCTCGCGGCCATGCGAGGTGGCGACACGAACGACGACGACGACGACCGACGTGTCGGTGGCGGTGGCGATGGCGGTGGTGCGGTTGCAGATGGTTGCCTGGCGGACAATGCGGAGATGCGTGGCATTGGTGTCGCAGCTGCCGTCGTCGCCCGATGTAATGTCGAAGCTGGCAGCGGCGGAGGCGAGAGGGCCTTCTTCCGCGGCAGCTTGCCCTCCAGGGCAGGGTTGCGCGCAACGGCAAAGTAGTGGCCGCTGCAACACCAAGAGGATGTCAGTGAGTGTGAACGAGTCAATGATACGCCAAAAACGAGACACGTTGGTGGGAAAGGCACAGAGAGAGAGAGAGAGGTGGGCCGAGTTTGTCAACAAGCAACAAAACAGCCACATTATCTGCAAAGTACGAATGACAATGTAAACAGTGATCGATCGATCATCCCATCGCAAATGAAGCACATTTCAAATCCGCAACACACACACACACACACACACACACACACACACACACACACACACACACACACACACACACACACACACACACACACACCTGGCCGCGCTTGATCCCGTGTGGAAGACGACGCTGGCAAGGCGGTACGAGCGGGGCGGCGTGGACGCGTCCAACCACAATGGCTTGAGGCGCATCACAGGCGGCGCATGCACGGGCGCTTTGATCTGGCAACACAGTGGTGTTGGGGTGATTGATGGTGGTGGTGAGGCCTTTGGAAGAATGGAATGTGTTTCTCGTGCCATAGAATGACCGCGCGCGCACATCCACATCCACATCCACACACACACACACACACACACACACACACACACACACACACACACACACACACACACACACATACATTCGCACACATTCGCACACATACACACCTCCACCGACCTTGAACCCTGGGCGGGTGCATCTGTTGATGTGGAGCATGAGGACGCGTGGTGGGCGCTTGAGACGGGTGACACACGTCGCCTCCTGATTCCCACCGCAGTCGCTGCAGTGCCGCTTGTTCTCGCCATCCAGTCGCTCCTCGCGAAAGTGGTGGTCGAGCAGCGTCATCACAGAAAACGTGCGGTGGTCCTGCATGCGCCAATCCGTCGTCGTTGTTGTCGCCGTCGTGACCTGCGACTCGGGAAAGTGGAGTGTGAGCACGGTGCTCATGGTCTCGTGTCGCACCACCCGCTCGCACGTGCAGCAGCGCGTCGTCTCCGATATGACGCCGCTGAGCATCTGCTGCACGCACGGCGCCGCGGTCACGGCAGCGCTGGCAATGGCCGCCTTCTGTGCTCGCTCGAGCTCGTCCAGAAGAAACAGGAGAAACTCCTGCGCATCGTGCTGGTACACGTTGTCAAAGCTCGCATTCGATACCCTGGTGATGCGGGGAGAGCAGGGAATGGGGAGAGGCAGCAAGGTCGGAGAGATGAGCATGCACGTGAGATAAAACATGGCTCCGTGTGTGTGTGTGTGTGTGTGTGTGTGTGTGTGTGTGTGTGTGTGTGTTGATGCAGGTAGCTGAATGTGCGTGCACGAACATGTGCTTTTGCAATGTGTTCTCATACCAACAACAACAAGCACCAGAGCAGAAACGGACCCGAGCTGGCGCTTGACGGAGGAAGGGCTGACATGCAACTGCTCAATGGCGGTGATCGGGGAGATGGTCTGCTCCTGCTGCTCCAAGAACTCCATGCGATCAAGTAACTGCAGCACAAGCAAAACCAATGCATGTGACATGTTTGTCGTGAGCAACGCAACGTTGTGCAGACTGTCATGCTCATACATGACAAAGGAACCATACATAACGCACGCACGCACACACACAAACACACACACACAAACACACACACAATGCACAGAAGCATACACACATGTACACACACACACACTTGTGCACACGAGCAAAAGGGAGGTGCACGAAAACGCAGTGGCCATACGTCAATCAGCTCCGCGAGGAACGTTGATTCGCGCTTGATGGCGGCCTCACCGCAGCCGGGCACGGGCTGGTGGTCGTGCACGCAGAGAGTACGTTGGTTGCGACGTTAGAACACCCATGAAAAGGGAACATGGGGACTGACACACGCATGAATACACATATATAAATCCGCACTGAGACACATACAAATCGCACACATGAATAAACCCACACACAAGTTCACGCACGCACACACACACGCACACACACACAAGTTCACGCACGCACGCACGCACACACACACACACACACACACACACACACACACACACACACACACACACACACACACAAACACACGCATACACACAAAACACACGCATACACACACACACACCTTGGTTGTGCACTGGGTGAGGCAGGTGCGAAAGGTGTCGACAAAGCGAAGCGCCTGGAGTGTGGAGGCAAGGTAGCACGTGTTGCCCAGATTGCGAATACCACAGAAGCTCGCAAGCGGTTTCAGGGATTCAAGACTCAGGCCCAGCGTTGACGCGCCCATATCGCCCTTGCCGCCCTTTCCTTGCTGCTTGCGTGACCACGATGGCCATGAGGACGACGATGATGATGACGACGACGACGACGAGGACTGCGGCTGGTCGTGGGCGGCCTTCTTCTTCCTCTTCGTGGCGGAAAACAGAACGCGTCTTGAGGTGTCCTTGCCACTCGACAGCGGCGCAACACGCGTCGGCACCATCTGCGTCGTGCTGTTGCTGCTGCTGTTAATGCTGCTGCTGTTGCTGCTGCGTTGCCGCACTTGATCCACAATACCCATGCCTCTGCTCCTTTGCTTATGTTCAACATCATCAACGTGACGATGACGACTGCTACTGCTGCTGCTGCTGCTGCTGCTGCTGCTACTGCTGGTCGTCTGCATATCCCCCTCCCTCTCACGGAGCGCACGACGACCCCGTGCCATACCAAGCGCATCCAACTCGTCCATCGCCTCCAGCTGGGACCGTGCAGATTCTGTTGCCCGGATCAGCGGTGACCCTCCATGGCCCTCACGCTTCCGCCTCCCGTCCTCCGCATTCCGCCGTCTTGCATCACGCTGTGGCGATGACTGCGTCATGACGTCCCACACGCTCTCCGTCCCCAACGTGCTGCCACCAGCCCTGTTGCTGCTGCTGCTGTTGCTGCTGCTGCTGTTGCTGCTGCTGCTGCTGCTGCTGCTGCTGCTGCTCGTGTGCGCTGGGCGTCGAAATCCGGACATGAGCGACTGCTGCTTTGGCTTCTTCGGTGCAGGGCCGCGTGACGACGACGATGACGATGATGATGACGGTACTGCTGCGGCTGTTGTTGTTGCTGCTGCTGCTGCTGATGATGATGATGCTGAGGAGGAGGAGGATGGTTCGATTATTCCCGAGCGCCGCAGCTGACTGCTGGAGGCGCTGCTTCCTTTTGCTGTTCTGTTTCCGCGGGAAAACTTGTACTCATCGAGGCTGCTGCACATGAATGAGGTGATGGGGATGGCAGCCGGGATAGCTTCCTCTTCTTCCTCTTCCTCTTCCTCTTCCTCTTCTTCTGCTTCTTCCTCTTCTTCCATTGCCATCCTAGCGGCCCTTGCCGCGATGTTTTCCTTGTCCGCCCGAGACTCGTTCGAATCCGTGCTGTCTGTCAGCTGTGTTGAGGGCGCGCTGCCACTGCTGTCCACAATCTCAACAACATCACCGCTCCCATCGCCGCCTGCATCATCAATAGAAATAACTCGACCAGTATCGCTCGGGCCACTGTCACCGCTGCTGTCGCCTCTGGCACCATCGTTGTCACTACTGCCGCCAATATGACCGTTGTTGTTCTCGCGACTGTCGTCGTTCTCGTCATCACAATCGTCCATGAGTAGAATTGGGTCGCCGACGTCTCCACTCTTTTTGCTTCGTCTTTTCCGTCCTCCGTTCGCTGTTGTTGCTGCTGTTGCCGCGGTCTGCGTGGTGTTGGCCCGTACATCATCCCCGCCACGTGCTGCCGACGTGCTCAATCGCGCCCGAGAACGAGGAGGGGACCGGGGTGGGCCGCCGCCGCCGCCGCGAAGCCCGCGGGGAAACGACAGCTTCCAGCCCCGCCCGCTTGTCGACACAGTGGATGATGATGATGATGATGACAGTGCTGCTGATGATGATGACGATGATGATGATGATGATGACGATGATGACAGTGCTGCTGCTGCTGATGATGATGATGATGACGCCACATTGTGCTGTTGCGGCTGTTGTTGTTGGGGCCAGGATGAAGGTGGCACTGCTGATGTTGTGGACGTTGCTGTAGATGCAGGGGGTACCATTGACAAGGCAGAAGCAGAGCGTGCGGTGGATACGAGCGACGATGAAGAAGGGGCTGCAGAGGTGTCAAAGCTGAACACGTCACCAGCGTCACCACCACCGCCCACACTCGCTGTGCGTCGGCGCCGTCGATGCTGCTGTTGCTGCTGCTGTTCGAGTAGGATGCCCCACAGGTCTGGATCTGTGTTCTCCACACCCCCAGCAGAGCGGCGAAATCGCGGGGCCCTCACGCCATTATGCGCACCATCACCACGCGCGCCGTCACCGCTGCCCCTGGTACTGTTTGCGCCATCAGCAGTGCTGTCGGCGGTGGCGTCGGTGGCGGCAGCGGTGGCGTCGGCATTGTGGGAGGGCCGGCCCCGCGGTCGACAGGGACGCGGTTGTGGCTGCCAGCGGGTGTCTGCAGAGGTATTGACGATGGTGAGTGGTTCACGGCTCGGTGTGCGGGAGAGGGTGCTGGAAGGGCGCGAACCCGGCGCTGATGCTGATCTGCCCTCCACGGCATGTGGGCTGGGTGATGGCCCTGTCGACATGGCTGCTGGTGTCGCTGGTGCCGGTGTTGGCGGTGCTGTGGTCGCCGAAGATGAAGAAGCCAGCGATGGGAACGGGCTTGCCTGTGCAGGCGGCTGCATAGGCCGTGTTGCCGGCCCTGATCGGTGCCTGGTGCTGCTACTGCTTAAGAAAGGGTTTGTGATATGGAAGGGATCACGGTGTTGCTGGTGCTCATCTTGGTGTTGGGGTGGGTCTACGCCATGATGGCTTGGCATTGTTGTCGAGGAAGGGGCAGCGTGTGAGGCGCGCTTATGCTTGTCGGCTGTCGACCAGCGAGCCCGTGCGATAGAGAGAGCGTGCGAAATCGAAAAAGGGCGCAGTCAATCAAGGTGTACGTGTGTGTGTGTGTGCGCGCGCATGTGTCGATGTGTCGATGTGTGTGCGACGGCAGCGGCAGCGTCTGTGTCAACACTGCAAACAAGGAGAACAAGGCGTGCTTCCTTGCTCTGCCGAACAGCAGCTGTTCGATGAGTGATGAAGCGTGCAGCTGCAGCACGTCCACACAAAGATGAAGGCGAGCGAGCGAGCAAGAGCAGGCGAACGCGCTCTGTCTTCTTGTGTGGCTGTGGAACAAAACCAAAAAAATGGCGCGCGGCAACACGACTGAATTCACACTATTCGACTGATTTCAATATGCCAACCAGATTAGACTGAATTAAGTTTACTGTGGTCTGCTGGACAACAAAGGTGTGTGATCATCATCATCATCATCTCTGTCGCTCCCGCCATCATCATCGTCGTCATCGGCAGCCCAGCTCCGCCCGCCCCCTTGTTCCCTCACACCAGCATGGCCCAGCTGCTGCTGCTGCTGCTGCTGCTGCTGTTGTTGTTGTTGTTGTTGTTGTTGTTGTTGTTGGTGGTGGTGGTGGTGTTGTTGTTGTTGTTCGCCTTGCTCCACCTGCGCCTCCACCTCTTCCTCTTCCTCCTCCTCTTCCTCTTCCTCCTCATCGTTGTCTCCATTAGCTTCGTTGTCGTCCTCCATGCCGACGGTTGGGCCCGGCATCGGGCAGTGGCGCCCCGTGTTTGCTCGTCTTCGTCGTGGACGCCTGTGGCCATGCCTGGCGTCGCTGCCGTCACTTGGGTTCCCGCCATCATGCGTGACGGGCCCTTCAAACGACGTCACTGTTGGCCGGGCAAAGCGGATGCGCCCGCCACCCTCACCCGTGGCACCGTTGCTGCCGTTGCTGCCGCTACTGCCGTCATCGCCAGCACCACTGCCGCCAGAGCCATCGCCCCCGCTCTCCTGGTGCATTGCCCCAGATATCACATCTGCAGACACAGAGCCGCATGTGAACATGTGTGTGTGCGCGTGTGTGTGCATGTGTATGCATGTGTATGTGTATGTGTGTGTGTATGCGTGTGAGGAAGGTTGTCATAGCACAGCGCAAGCGAGCAAGGTGGGGGGGCAGGGGAAAATCCATGTCGAAACCTCAAACTTGGAATTATTCTGCTCACATTGGAGTGTTCACACACACACACACACATTCACACTTTCGCACACTTTCGCACACATTCGCACACTTTCGCACACATTCGCACAAATCCACACACACTCAGTCACACACACACACGCACACTCACATATTCACACACTTACGCACATATTCGCACACTTACGCACCTCGGACGACTTGTTCATCGGACTGAACGGAAAAATTCCGCACGCGCTCCTCGCTGGAAAAGCTGCAAGTGGTGAAGAGGACACGAGAGTGAGGCCACTGCAAGGGAAGATGGCAAGCACTGAACACAATAAATTAACACACACACAGTGTACACGCCCGCATGCAAGTGCACTTCCACATTGCACACACACACACATGCACACACACGCGTGTGCGGTGTATACGTGCACATGCAGGGGCACTTACACAACACGGCGCCTGGCAGCGCCAATCCACCACTTGTAAAAGGCCTTGCGCATGGCGGCCCAGCGACACAGGCGTCGGTTCTCGCGGTCAAGCACAAACATGACAAACACGCAAAAGAACCCTGGTGGGGACGAAGGAAGAAGGCAGCGGCGGTGGTGTCGGATGCAGGAATTGGGCGCAGCAGCGGTGATGGTGGCGGTGGCGCAAGTCCGTGATCAGTGATCAGTGATGTTAAAACGTTCACAACATTGTGGACACACCCCTCGTGTCGTGTGTAGAATAACCAGCAACAGCAACAACAACAACTCAGCAAACATGCCACATGAAACCGTCCAGGACACACTTTATGTCCCTTACTGTCTCCCGCATTCCCTTGCCTCCTCTGTGTGTGTGTGTGTGTGTGTGTGTGTGTGTGTGTGTGTGTGTGTGTGTGTGTGTGTGTGTGTGTGTGTGTGTGTGTGTGTGTGTGTGTGTGTGTGTGTG